AATAGCGGCGCTTGCCGGCGCGCGCGCCCGTGGAGGGCGGGCAGCCCAGCCGCGGCGCCGTCCCAGGTCCAACCACAACGCACGCGGCCCCCGCCGGCCCGCCACGCCCGCCTCCAATCCCCGCCCAGCGCCCAGCGAACGCCCGTCGGGCGGGCGGGCGCCGCCCTCTGAGCACACGCCCTGCGGCCTCGGCCCTGCAGCCCCACAGGGCCACCGCCCAGGCACAGGGCCAGCGCCCGCACCCGCTCCCCCACTGCCACATCTTTCGCTTTACCCCGAATTCACTTCCCACACCCCATCTTCTCTCCTAGCGCCCACCATTCTCTCCTTGCTACCACCACTCCTCGCACCCTTCTCCTGTCCTTGTGGCGTCTCTTCCGGTTCTCGAGCAACACCTCTTAAGCGCCGCGATCAACTCCCTTGCTGCACACCAACTCCTTTCACAGACCGGCGTAATCCGGCTCGGTTCCTTTTCATTAGCACCTCCGATGCATATAAGACACCTTTTATTGAGCGCGAAATGGATAGGCGTCGGCCTCTGGACTTACTACGTATTGTGCTTCATGGTGCTTTTAATTCTTTTTAATAACTTGGTACAGGAAAACAACAAAATAATTTGGTGGGTCATTTATTCTGGTGATCAAAATGATAAAGTAAACCGTAGACAAATATTTTGGATGAATATCATTCGCAAGTATTTGAGTTGTCTATAAATCATGTTATGCCATTTGTTGCTGCTTCTTTCGCAATATTGTATTGAACGGGAAAGCCCACATTCTTCGTCCTTCTAAGGTAGGAATGGTTCGTGAGAAAGTATAAAATGTTTGCAAATACCACTTAAAAAGTGTACCAGACAATGCTGGAAGCAGCAAATATTGGTCTCCTATCTCTCTGCAAGTTATAACATTGTTGTCATACTAGATAAATCCCTTCGGGTTTGAAAAATTAGTCGATACAGATTCCCGACTTCGGCGAAGCGAGGTGGAGGTTCTCTTCATTGGAATTTTGTAAGCACAAGTTGTATTTAATAGAACATATTTCACGCCCGAAGTCGCTGCTTGAGATTTTCCCACGAGACTGGGATGCGCAGCGGTGAAGGAGGAGTTCCGAGCTTTCCTTGATCTCGACGAGGGAAGGTTGCTAAGGGGAGACGGCCAGCCATGCAGACGAATTTGATATAGATTGAGTTTGAGACTTCGACTAGAGAGAGCTTCGAAGTGCACAGATTAACGACCGAAGTGGCCTCGAGTTCGGATATTTTACGTCCCAGATGACAAGTCACGTAAAATTCGACCATGAATCTTGGGATCGCAGGGAGGCTGCGAGCGAAAGCCAAATCTCTTTCCGGGCTTGGAGCCTTCTTAATTTTTAATACTTTCTGTGAGGTCCTCACGCCGCTCTATGCGATGGCGCCGGCTGTGCCGTTCGGCTCCGGAAACTATGTTCGTGCCCGTCGCGCACCGAGGACGGGGCGTCCCGCCCCGGCGCGCCGGAAGCTGGCCTGGGTGTGTGCGTGAGTCGAGGCGACGAGAAACATCGCTGGCAGCCACCTAGACAGTCACACTACAGCTCGTGAACGTCCTCCCAGAGGTTTGTCGGGCGGGTGTGCCAAAGCACACGGTATAAAAAAGCTCGCAAAACCAATGAAAAGGACATACGGTGTTATAGGTTGGGCCGCCGCCCGCCTCTCTCCCGCGGCTATGAACGCGCGGGCGAGCAGGCTGTCGGGTGTAGCTTCAGTGAGGCGGCAATTTTTTTTTTTCGTGAGTTTCAGCGAAGTAGTGC